GGTAACTGACTGCATTCATATCCTAAAGCTTAGCTTATACTGTAGAAGTTCTGTATTTGAAAAACTGACAACCCTACCTAAGAAGCGCTTGACCAAGGAGCTTCTTGAGTTTTTCCAAGCCCTAAAGTTTCTGCAGTTGTTTCATTCACACTCAGCTGGCCTGATCCATGCTAACACTTTGTTTTTCTTTGCAATTAAAATATTTCAGCTGCCATGTGAAATATGTGAGACTTTTTTAGACTTGTCAGAAGCTCAGCAGGATGGCATTGAGTGTTTGCACAGCGGCTTATAACAGTCCCAAGAATAATTCCTGGATCAACTTGCTGGCTATTTTTAAAACAGTGAAAAATATGAACTGTTGCATAAATCCATTTTGCTTCTTGGCGTATGATTATTTTCCCACTTTTTATTTCACTGTTGGTTATTTGACAGCTCAAAAAACATTTCCAAACATACCTCTCTTCCATCCCAAAATGAACATGTGACTGTGGATTACCCATCAGACTTTGACAGTCTTTTGGTCCAACAGCACATCTGGAAAGGGATTTCTATGTTATTTCTTTTCTTTTTAAAGCTAAAATGTACAGGTTCACTGGCCATGTGTTTAGTTTTCATTGAACTTTTTTTTTTCTTCCAGTTTTTGTTGTTTTGTTTATAGTTTTTTAATAATCATGCTGTACTCACCTTGAGTTTTGCTCTTCAGTGATCATCAGTAGCCATAAGTGCATCATCAGTAGCCATTAGGGGACAGAAGGAGGACTGAGACCCCTGATGTGACTGTGAGACAAGCGGAATGTGAAGCTCACTCCCATCCCACTGAATCTGAAGCCTAGAGGAGTTTTCAGTGTGCTTCTGTTCCTTTTGCCATTATACATAGTAGTCTATAACTGAATTTAGCCTGCTTAGCTAATCTCAATGTTCAGAGATTTCCAAGGAGCTGGTCAGGCTGTTGTCATTCCCACGTGCCTTAGGAAGCAGCATATTTGAACAGTCTGTTGTCTGTGAAACACCTTTGACACTTTGTGTGTTTCCAGAAATACAGCTGCAGTGAAGGAAAGATGACTTTGGTGAAGGCTTAGGTCAAAGTTGACTGTTTAAATAAATTAAAAGGTGATTTGTTTAGATTACATATAAGAAAAAAGTTTTTGCAATGAGGGTTGGTAAAGCACTGGAACAGGTTTCCCAGAGAGGTGATCAATCTCCTGGAAACATTCAAGGGGCTCTCTCTGATCTAGTTGAAGATGTCTCTGCTAATTGCACCTCTAAAGGTCTCTTCAAACCTGTACTATTCTATGATTCCACATTTCTCAGTGTGCAGCATCTCTTGATTGACCACTGGGTCTGTTTTCGTGCCTGGATGTTTACAGTCCCTCTCTGCTCTCACTCTGTCTGGTGAATATAACACCCAAGTGTTGCAGGGAGAGGGACTGTGGCATGTGAAGGCACCTCATGCTGAGGCAGGTGCCCAGAGGAGCTGGGTCATGAGACAGCCTGCCCTGGGCATGGCAGCTTTGCAAGATCTGTGGTCAAGTCATCATCACCAGTGGTAACTGGAGAAATACTAGCAGACTTCTTCTAACAACTGATTAATCCAGGATTCAGCACTAATTCCAGCTGTTGGCAATTATACTCTCCCTGTGGCTTTGCTGAGGTGTGGTGTTTGTCACAATAGATCTAACCTGTTAAACAGATGCTGCTTTTTGCTCCACCAGGGATGCCTTTGGTGACAGATAAAATGATTCTGGTGTACAGAGGACAAGGTCCTTCAATTTGTTAAATTTGCCAACTGCATTGGGAGCCTGAGGGCTGAAAGGTGTCATAGAAATGTAAAGTGCTATTGCTCATCCAAAATCACTCTGCTCTGTTTTCCTAAAAAAACCTCCAAACAACTACAGATACTTCTTTCCTGCATTTTGTTCAATGTTTGGTTGGTTCCTTTAAATCTGCACACAGAACTGCTACCACTTAGCGCCTGGATCTTGAGTGCGTCTCAGGCATTTTATCTGACCTTTTGTTTGGCAGTTATTTCCCTTACCTGTTTCTCCAGTTACTTGAGCAATCTGTTTTCTGTGACTAGTTTTAAGACACTGATTTTTCATTGCTTTTATTTAAACATGCAATGAGTTTAAGCATGCAAGTGAAGTTCATAAAGCCCAGTGAGTCCAAACACTTTGTCTGGTTGTACTCACTTGATTGGTTTACTGTATTTTCCCATGTCCTAGCATTAATTACAAACAGCTGAAATACAAAGGCCTAATGAAAAACTAATCTTGATGTGAAAGCAGGAAAGAGAGATGTGTGGGACAGGAATTCAGTAATCCCCTGGCTGGAGATTTAGTTGTACCTAAACACTGTCATTCATGGAGCCAACTTAAATTGTCAATCAAGAACCTGTCAGTCTAAACAAATCTGAAGTGTCAAGAAGTTTGCTTTAGTTGGCATTTAACTTTTCCCTTGGCATCCAATTCTTAGCTTTAATCAGAATATCTCACAGAAGACAGGGTTCAGTTTGATCCAGCTGTGTGAAGTATTGTATGTAGTTGGCTTGTCCTCAGATAAGTTTCAGCTCCAGCTTGCAGACATGGGAGTGAAGAAAATGAGCAAAGAAAGCATTTCCTTAGAAAGAACATCTGAGCAGATTTTCAGGTCTCAGGTTTCAGAGAGTGGCATTTCTAGTATTTTACCTACTTCTGTAAGGAAAGGAAAAAAAGGAACCCTCCTGTGCATGTTAGAGGGCATGATAATAGATATATGGGAATAGATAATATAGATAGTAGGGCTAGAGAGATAATAGAGTTAGATAATTTCTTGTGTGATCTCTGTTGCCTTACAGAAAATTTAAACCACATAAGAGAGATAAGAAACAATATTAGCCAACAAATTATGAATCATCAGGTTCTAAAACTTTCACTAATGTATATAGTAGCTCTAGTATTGTGTATAGATTCTCCTCTGAAAGGCAATATTTATGGAAAAAGTTGTAAGGTACCCAAAAAATGTAACTATAACAATATTGAATGTATGTGTCACTTGGTGGATTTGAACTTGGAGCATATAAAGTAATGGAAAGAAGTGAAGTTCACTCCCAAACAGATCTAGAGCTAGCGGATCACAGGGATCAGGTCAAGAGGTGCACCTAAAAGGTAAAGCATCAAGATGCCAATGTACAACTGACTGAAAGACAGCAGCTAACAACTGGGCATCTTCAGAGCAGGGAAGGAGAACCTCTCAGGTCAAATGATTGAATGGAAGCAAGGTGGTTCAGTAGGGAATGAAACCCAAGGATGAAGCAATAATGACCAACAAACAGTACTGGTGTCTAAATAATGCATGACAATGACACCATAATTTGACTTTAATAATGCAATAATGCAATGGATAACACTATACTGTGTTTTCACCAAATAGATTTGGGGTTTTTTTTGGCTGACTGTCCATTATAGTCTAACATATTCATCTTGTCTTTGGGCTCTTAAATGCCAAAGTAAACTTTGTTTTGAAATCTAGGCCTCTAGTCTAGGGATTTCAGCAGAATTCTCCAGCATTTGCAGATTATCCATATGTTCACCATTCTTGTTTTATATTTGTAGTTCAGTTTCTATTATCTTTAAAACCATGAATTAAAAGGGTTAATCTATGGATAGAAATAGTTTTAAGATTCTCTTGAGGAGCTATGACCACTGTCATGCCCTAAATGGAGGGGGCATGTAAGTTTCTTGAACTTTGTTTTAATTGTAGTTTCTACAAGTTTCTCCTTTCTTCTTCAGACAAAACTCATTCTCACACATCCTTTCCATTCCCCTTTTAAAAGGGGAACACTGAAACCAAGTATGTGGAAAATATTAATACACTGAAAATAAAAATTATATAGGGATAGAAATCTAACTACTTTTCTGATGTCTTTCTGGCCAGAGTACAAGAGAGGGGTTCTCAAAGAGCATGCCTGACATCAGATCCCTGCTCTTTCCATCATGTTCCAGTGCCTCTGAAATGCTCAGCTTTACCACCATGACACCAACAAGTTCATGTGAGGTAAGAAATTCCTGTCACCCATTCACTGCTGCTCAGTAAACTTTCTGTGGCTATTCAAGCACCTCTGTGACAGGAAATGCTTGAATGTTTAAGGCATAATTCTGCAAATGAAGTTTTAGTAACTGCAGGCTGAGTTGGTGGGAGGTGGTTTTGTTTTATACCTTGTTTCTTGACAGCCCTGCAAGAAACCCAGCTATGGCTTAGGCATGTTGCTGCTCACCTTTGCAGCAGGGCAGAGCCACCCTAACCTGGCCAAAGGGGCTCGTGGGCCGTGGGGATGGAGCACAGGGAAAGCTTTGCAAAGGGAAAGCTGGAGCCAGGTTTGGCCAGCCAGTAGAGGCTGGGGAAGGGGGGTGGTGGGGGTTGCCCAGCTGCTGTTTCCAGCCACCTAAAGAGGGGTTCCAGGGAAGGCAAAGCCAGGCTCCCTCCAGCATAACCATAAGAGGCCAGGGGCATGAGTTGGCGCCAGAGAAATCCCAGGCTGCCTGCCCGGGACTGCAGGGCAGCAGGCACAGCCTCAGGGACTGACTCTCCTAGGGTGCCCAGCCTCGGTGGTGGCACCACAGGGGCTCCAGTGCTGCCAGGATGGGCTGGGCAGGGACAGCCAACTGGGCTGCCCTGGAAACGAGCTCCTCTGGTTGCCCATCCGTTTTAGAAATATATGTATATATGCACACACATATATACACGTATATGTATATATATGCACACACATATATGAGTGTGTGTATGAGTATATATGTATTATTTTTTGAATTGTGAGGTATTTGGGTGTGGATAGGGTTTGTTTATTTGTTTGTTTCAAGTCATCTGTTTGCACTTGGAGCAGCGGTGGTGTGGCCAGTGAGGGTGACTGACGGGTCGTGTGGCTTGCTGGGGGCGATGCTGCGCTTCGATCGCGGCCGGAGCTGGCAGCCTGGCAGCCCAGGAGGGGCTTGCGAGCGGCTTTTTAAAGCCTGGGATTTCCAGCGCTCCTCAGGATGAGGCGCAGCTCGGCAGCCCTGCACAGAGCAGATGTGCGGAGGGGAGGGAAATGCTTTCGGCTGAACCCAAAAAGTACGTGCCAGGAGGAAGGCTTCAGCAAGTGGGAGCTGGGCAGGGAGGAGGGAACGGGGCATTTCTCTTCTGCTTCGATTTCTAAGGAATAATTTAAATGGATTGCTTCTTCTTTAAAAGGAAAATCTCACTGAAGTTGTTTTAATGTGAATTTTTATATTTATTTTCTCTGTGTGTGTGTTTATTTTCTTTGTGCTGTTTTGTTTAGATTTTTAGGACTGATTTGTAGTCTTGGCTGATGGGAGAAGTGGTTGTGCAAGGGGTTGGTGTAGCAGGAGGTTGCTTACGATGGTATTTGTTGCATCATCAAGAGCTGACTGATTAAACCTTATTGGATCTGATCCATAATAGCAGGAACATTTTTATGGAAAAGGAAATATGAATGAAGTCCTAAAGCAGATTTCAGAGCTGTTATCCTTTTGTGGAACATATTAATAGAATGTAAAGTGACCTAAATGAAGTGCTGTAGAAAGGCTTGTCAATAGTTTATACATTAAGCTAGGATTATTTGAAGACGTTCATAATGAAAAGAGGATTTTGTTGTGCATTAAAAATTAGTTATGATGATTTGAGGCAGAAGACTGAGATAAGTCAGCAAGCTAAATATAAAGAATTTGTGTATACTGGGATAGGGCTGTCCTCATACAGCCCTATCCCAGTATACCCTGACCTTATACCATTACAATATTTTGTAGAGATTTTAGTACAGAAGATTTACTGCTAAATCTTTGCTAACTTGTGTGGACTTCGTTTTATTAGCCAACCTAGCCCTGGCATTCAAAGAAGTCTATGAAGAATATTTGTTTCTAGTCTGAAGAGTGGAAGAGAAAAGGAATGCTGTGGGAGAAACTGCAGCTGGGAGGGAAGTTGTGGATTTTGTTTCATTGCAACAGGTCCTGGAATATGTGAGACAAAAAGTTGGAGTTTTTACAATTCATTTAAGGTAATAAATAAGTGACAAATGAAAAGGAATTTGAGTATATAACTCATAACTGCAAATTATTTACCAATATTGTGTTCTGGCACTGCGAAAGGTCTTAATTTTCTGTTGGTCTTTTTAATCCCTTCTTTACTGCAGTGACCCTTTTTGCTGTTAAATTTTCTCTAAAGTTTCCAAGGAAATCCAAGTTTTATTCCCTGCCATTATATACTCACCAAATTTTCAATTAATTCACATCCTGTATTGCTTTCTCTTGCCACAAACTTAGCTGTGCAAAATCATGTGTAAGTGCAACAAGTAAGTTGATCAAGGGATCTGAAGTTGGAATTTGGTTGACTTTGTTTGGCTGCCTTGAAAGGTTGCAAATTATCCTCCCTTAGGATGTCCTGTTTTTCCAATGCCCTCAGGTGCCAGCCTGGAGAGAGAGGTGGTTGCTGAAGATGATCTGCTTAGTCCAGCAGGTCCTGGCTAAGCAATTGGGAAGCAGAATTCAGTGCACAAACAGGACCCAGGGTAGAGACGTGTGTCTGCATATTGTTGTAGGTGGTTAATCGAGGCTGGTCACACTCCTAAACCCCCAGGGTGTGACAAAGCAGTGTTGCTGCATGAGATGGTTCAGCCTTTGGTATTAATGCAGCCAAGAGAATTGCAAAGTTATTCAAACTTAATAGAAGCATGGAGTTGCAAGACATTGCAGCTGCAGTACAAGTCAAACTCTCTCAGTCCTGAAAAGCAGGAAATCTTAGTGTATAGGTGCAAAGGAATTTAAGTAGCTACTCATAATGCAGCTGAGAGAAAGCACCAGGCTGACTTGCATAAATTGGTTGCAGGCTGCTAGACACTCTTTATAAATTCTGTGATGAGGGCAGCCACCCTAGGAAAGGCTTAAATAAAAATATATTGCTCAAACTTCATATGCAGCTTTGGTAGGCACTGGGACTTGAAAGCGTGCTTGGCAGGTAAATAAGTCAGCAGTCAGAAGTGCCTGGTGCAGATGGCAGTCAGTGCCTGAACATGTGATGGGGCACATGCAGAATGCAGGGCACGGTTCAAGGATGCAGCCTGGGGCTGCTGTGCAGCTGGATCACCCTGTGTGCCGGGGCCAGCCTGTTACAGTGAGGGCTGAGCTGGGAGTCTGCAGCTCATCCTGCTGACAGCAGCCCAGGCACACGGGGTGATGGTATCAGCAGCTTCAGTTGACAGCATTTGCAAAGTTTAAACATACCCTAAGCAGAATGCCCAAGAAATAGGGAGATGGACTGTTATAATTTTTGCTGATCCCTCTGGACTGACTGCCATCAGCACAGCTGTGCTGCCAGTGAAATGACTGAGTAGGTGAAACCAAGTCCTTGCTGGCTGCATGACATAAAGGGCAACATTTAAACAGCTCCAGTTAATCTAAGCCTCCTAAAGCAACAGGAAAGAGCTTACTTTGTGCTTTGCAAAGTTAGCAATGCCTAAAAAAGAACGTGATCTCAAGTGAAAAGGAAATTTGTTTGGGTTTGAATTAAAAAAAGGACAAAGTACTTTCATTGAACTTTGTGCAACCAATAATGCAGTGCTCAATAAATTACTTGCCTTTTGTTAAGAAAGAATAATGTGCATAGTTTCTTATATACCTGGTATCTTTTGCTACAATTTCTGTACTGAAACTCGTGCAAGTACTCAAATGATGTAATTGACTTTACTATGATAGGGAAAGGGCCAACATGACTTAGAAATGTGCAGTGTTGTTGTCCCCATGCAGTCGCTGTCATTAGAGGTCCCACCCTCCATGGTGCTGCAGAGACCATTGCACTCCAGTTGAGTGACAGCAAATGAAGGTGACTTCAGGAGCACCAGGGAGATTCTTAGTGAGTCAGTGCTGGCACTTTGGAAAGCTCCAGTGGCACTGCTGTAGGTAAGTGCCAGTCAGTTCCTCCTCAAGCAGCTGGTGAGGGAAGGCAGCATGGCTCAAATGCTGGAGGGCTGCAAGATCTGCAGTGTTTGCCATCCCTCCTCCACAGCACAGGATGTAGCAGTCTGATGATGTCCTGGGCAATGCTTAAAAAATTTAAATAGCCCATTTGTAACAGAATTATTTTGTATTTAGAATCAGTAGTTGTCAAATTGCTTTGCACTCTGTCATTAGCTCAGTGTTTGATACCACAAAACTAATAGCAACAAACTTTTGCTGAAGTTCAATGCAATTTTGCAACTAATAGTAACTATTTGTGTTCAGTGGGCTTTTGCTCCTGGAGGAAACTTGAATATCTCTTACCCCTGAAGCTGTTGTGGGCAAATTGTTCCTTTAGCTGTTTTTCCATTGAGAGATGTTCTTTAATGTGATGCTTTTCCAGAGCTGGATGGACAAAGGAAGGTCCAGGTGAACTCAGACCTAGTATGGACAGATTTTGAGGCAGACAGTGCTTTGTTAGACTTCTGTTTGTTTTTTGAGGTTCTCTGATGCATATTACTTTGCTGGCTTTTGTAATATCCTTTATAACATAAAGTTTTTTATATGTTTTTTAACATAAATGTTCTTTTCTGTAAATGGCACTTATCTTCTTAACTCAGAAAAGGGAGCTGCCTTGTGCTGAGATTTTCTGTTCTGGTACTTCATCCTGATTCCAAGCTGATATTGCAGAGGCAATGTAGGAGAGGCTTCAAAATCCACCCCATATCCAGAGATTATCATGAGGGTGAGAGGAAGATGATGTTTCCTAACACAGATGTGCTAAAATTTTTGTTAGTTTTTGTAGAGTCATGAAAAGTGGCCTGTAGAATTAAAACAGGGGACTACCTTACAATAACTGCATCATCCCTATTTTCAGTGGGTTAGTCAGTGCAGTGCAGAGGGAAAGGATGAAGCTTCCTTCACCATTAAATCAAAATTGTCTTGATGCTTCCCCAAACCAAAGTTGCTTGCTTTTGTGTAAGATATTGTTTATTCTCCCAGGATAAGCACTGCCATGAGATAATTTTCTGAGGTACAGACATTACTTATACTATACACACCTATTTCCATCAAATGTGACAATTTATGCTTTGTTAGTTTAGTGCTTTAGAAATTTAAAAGTCTTTTGTTTGCTGTAATTTATCTCTAATTATGCTCATATTTCTGTTTTGTATTAGTTTGCAAGTGTTTCTTCAATCTTTGAAATGTCTTCAGTGTTGCAATAGATTTCTAATTGTAAGTGGAGAGCCAGTTTCACTTGTTCATTTGAAGACATTGGTCTCTCTTCCTTTAGCAATGCTAAATCCACAAGAAATGTGTAACTTCCTCAGCCTCCATAGGACTTGAGGAGCAACGACCTCCTTCCTGGATGAGAGTTTGTTTTACTCTTGTCTTAGAGAGTTAAGGGTGGTTGTGCTGCTGCCAGAAGGTTTCATGTGGGAATAAAGATTTGCCTTTTGATGCTGAGATCGGTCTCCTTGAACATATTTCACCCAGTAGCAACTCTCTCTTCCCAGTCATCTTGATTATCCCCATTACCTGTGGTGGCTAGATGCTTTGTGCTGAGTGTCTAGGGGGAATTTGTCAGACTAAAATGCCTTAGGCCATTCAGTGATCCAGTTAGATTCTCTAAAATTAATCATAAAACACCTTAAAGGTGGATTTTTGTGTTGCTTAGGCACCTAACCGTGCAGATAAACACCAGAGAGTGTTTTCAGCACCTCAGGAAAGCAGTAGGTGTTTTGCCAGCAGTGCAATCAATAGGTGTGAAGTGCCTAAGACCTCTGGAAATCATTCTTTTAATGTCGGATTTAAAGGCACAGTAGCAAAAAGAGTTGCAAATGAAGTGGAGCACTTAACTGCAGCCTCCCCATGCAAGAAATATTGTCTCTGCAGAGATTATCAATTGAAAGCATCTAAAGTCTCTGGGTATGAAACAGCATTTAGGTTCACTTGGCTCTTTATGTCCCTAGTTTCCTGTGAAAGTAACAGAAGGTAGGTAGGAAGATTTTCAATTTACTGAGACAGAATACATGTCTTCAAATAATTGAAATCATATTTCATTTCACTTATAGCTTTAACCCTTATTTATTAACTGTGAGTTTTGAAGGTTTTATTGCTGGC